AGTTATTTAGGACAATTTGTATATTGTCTTGCAATTATACAATTTTTTCACTTGTGATTTAGCTCTATGCTGCTTGTGGTGGCATTTGCTTTATAAGACTATAAATCTAAGTAGAGATCACAACTCATTTCGGAAGGTTGCCAGGTAATTAAAAGACTCCAGTAGCCAGGTTTGTTTTTGCTACAATCAGAGGGCTGTGAAGAATGGATTAATGACCAAGATAATGTGTGACAGCTGTTAAAGGTTAACGTGAACTTTTGGAATGAAATATGCTGTAGACAAGGGCACAGACCGAGGAGGCAAAGGCAGGACTCGAGGTGTCGGGAAAATACGGGGTTTAATCGAAGGAAAGACACGATCAGGAGACAACTACAGCACATGACGTCAATGACCGGACTGAGGAAACATACTCGAAAGCGTACTTAAATACATCAGACTAAGTAACAACAAGGAGAAATAGCTGGTAACATGAGGATTCCACATGAGGTAGCGAGGGGGCGTGGCACACGGGAGGATTGGATGAGCAGAGCATGACAGATATATTACTTAATAACAGAGTAAATCTCAGAATTTGAATTTATTGGATCTGCTATGATACGTATTATGATGTCATCCACATTGGTGTGACTGGCCTTCTTTAGAAAAGGCTAGACTGAGTAAACAGAATGTGCCAAGTAGCAATATAGGGAATAATAGGGTAATAATAGGGTAAACTCTTTAGCCTACATCAGCTACAACAGGGCAGGTGATTTTCTAGCAAAGTGACTAGTTTCCCATTGTATATCCATTCATTTGAATATCATTGTGTAGCATTCCAGAACAATTTAAACCTTTTAAAATCGCTCATAAAATCAGAATTTTTTTGTTTGCAAATGCAGGCACATGAAGTTGTTCATTCAGTGAAGAACTAACATGTTTTTTTCTTTCTATGAATTATTTTTAAGATGAGAATGCCAACCTTGGCACTGCAGTTCGTTATGAAGAAATTGGTGAGTTCTTCAAATCATTAACCATGGATTTTGTGTCAAATATTACACAGATTTGTCTACTTTGGTTAAATTTCTTCTTTTTTTATATATTAATGATGCTTGTTAACTGAAGTTGAGATACTATTTACTGGGTATTGAAGAGAGTTGAATATTTGCTTATTCATTGCTCGCAATCAAATATATAGCCTCTGTGGATAGTCATTCGACTGGAAATTCCTGTTTGTTGTGCAGAACTGCGAATCCTGCTGCTTTGCGGGAGTGACCTGCTGGAGTCCTTCTGTATCCCTGGGCTGTGGGACAGCAGTGATGTGAGATTTTGTAGCTTATTGCATAGAAATTGTGAAAATAAAACAAAAACTAGGTCTTGTGTTTGAAAAGACCAATACATAGCGGCTCTAAATATATAATGACAAATAAGCATAATATTAAATCCTTTTCAAGATTGGGAGAAAAATAACATATAAAACTGACATTAAAATGTATTTGGTATAATCTCAGTATTCAAACAGTAATTTATTGGTGTAATAGAGTGTAATAATGATCATGTGAAAATAAGTATGAAAATGAATGAATGCCGCCCTGCTTTCTCTCGCTTTTCAGATGGACGTTATTGTGGGGGATTTTGGCATCGTTGTCGTGCCCCGTAACGGCACTGATACAGAAAGCATTATGAACCATTCTCCTGTGCTGCGCAAGTACAAGGTCAATTTCACCAAAAACCTCTTAAATTAACTTTTTCAATTGTAGGTGAACTTTAATTCAGTGTTTCAGGACAGTAAACTTGCTAGTTAAAAATGTCTGTTCAGCATTGTTGTTCTTAACACTGAAATTCACACCATCAAACAAATATTTCTTACATCCTTCTGTTTTGATGTGAATTCTGTAACCATGGTAACTCAGGGACCTTCTTTACATAAAAACAGGTGAATGTCAAAATTCAAAGTGAAATATTTGGATGCAAAGTATAATCTACAAATTTGCTGACTTTAAAATGTATGCAGACCTGAACAAACATCAGACCATTTGACTGCGTAGCTAAATTATTCAAGTGGGTCATATTCAAAGCATTTCAAGTGTGTAGCAGCTATACAACAAATCCACCAGTTCAATTTTTTAGCAAACAGTAGTATGCATTGTTGTAATAATTAATTGGTTCCCGGCCACAAAAAATTACACCTAAATATGTTTTTTTTTTTAGCATTTAAACACAAAATGAACAGGATAAAACAAGAGCATATACTGTACTAAACACATCTAAGCACATTTATCAAAACAGTAATTTGTAAGAAAATAAATGTATCCAAACAATGTGTAAAATGTGTAAAAAAAATTAAAAACCAATGTGTCCTGCCCCGATTGTCCACTCCTTCCGTGTGCCACGCCCCCTCCCCGTGTGATCATCTGTTTCTGGTTGTTGTCATTAGTCCTATGTATTTAGTCCACGTTTCAGTTTGTTTCCCCAGTCCTTTTACTGTATTATCCGTCTGCATTTTGCCTGCCTTACCTGTAATTAAACCCCGTATTGTTCGACTTCTGACATTCAGATCAACTTCTAGGTCATTTTTTTTCTAACTGCTTAGTTCGACTTTTAAGAAATTTGAGTTCTAATGAGTTCAAGAACTGAGGTACCACTGTATTTGGAATTTTGGGAATTCAGGACATCCTGAAATGATTTAAATTCATATAGATTTACTGTTATGTTGTTCTTAGCTAAAACAACATTAATCAAGTACTTGTGATGAACAAGTACATCGATTACATTCCTGAGAGGAAGGTGCTATACATATTTTTTTAATCACAAAGAAAAATCTTTTATTGCATTTTATACAGAACTGTTTCATTGCTGGAACTGATTTATTAGCATATTGTTAAGTTGATGACTCTTAGCCTTTTATTTTTATAATTATTTATTACAATTTATTTATTTACTTATTACTATTATTATTGTTTTTTTACAGGATAATATCATCGTGGTCAAAGATGACATCAACCACCCAATGTCTGTTGTCAGTTCTACAAAGTGCAGGTTAGTCAAAAAAGTTAAACACATGCGAATAAATGCATTTCTACAAAATCACAGTGAAGCTTGAAACGTTCATCTGTTTGTACAGATTAGCTCTTCAGCATGGAGACGGACATGTGTTGGACTACCTGAGTCAGCCAGTCATCGACTACATTCTAAAGTGCCAGCTCTACATCAACACTTCTGGATAGAACACCCCCTGCTGGAGCTGGGGTTCAATTGCCATAAATTCCTCTTCTGTCTGTTTTATTGTGCATAAGTTCCTCTATCCTCTGCTTTTCTGTGTGCAAGTCCAGTCAATGTCTATGAACTTGTGGACTCTTACCAATGTTTTTTTTTTCTCCTCATCTGTGCAGGAAGGCATGTATTGCAGTTGTGAGGCTGTAAATGAGGAATGAAGTTTTTAACATGCATGTAAAAAATGCAGAGGAGAGAACAGCATTACCTTTAGTGATAAATTGTTGACCACTGTCACTGTTAAATATGGTCTCTCCTGCAATTGCATGCTTGGACACCTTCATTTGGCATGTACCTTTACTTGTAAAGTAGAATATAGTCTTTAGTGATTCTATTAGCATTGAACTGCTACAAAGTTAGTCTGTGCTCCAGAAGAACATATATCTTAAGTTCACCGTTAACTTTGTGTAGTGTGTGGCATGCCTGTCTTTTTTCCTTACGAATCCAAGGCATATTTTATGTAGGTATTAATCAATTTTTATTACAGATCTCTGAATAAGAATGTACGTTTAAGAGCAAAAGTGTGGTCTCAGTTTATAGAGTGCCTTTTGTCATTATGAGTATTTATTGATTTTATTTAGAAGTAACGCAACACAGTCACATGGATTGCTGTCAAAAGTCCCCATACTTTTTGAATTGTGTGATGCAGCTATTTTTTTTTTTTTGCTGAGTTCAAATCAAATATTGCTTTGAAACTTCATGCCCATCAGGGGCAAAGCTGTACAAAGGTAGCTTAATCCAAAAGCATTTTAAACTCTGTCCTCCATTTTCAGTGGTGTTGATCAGCGAGATCCTATGCTAGCCAGTGCCACTTTATTTGGGCTCATTTTCAAACACTTTATATCTTAAGTCAAACAGAACAATTATTTACATTTCATTATTTTGCAGTTAAAACAAGGCTTCTTTTAATTTTTCAATACTGAATAGTGCATGGATGTTTGGCACATATTCATCTGTTTGCCATTCATCATAGATCAGAGCGGACTAAATGCAAGCTTTGTTGATCTGCACAGTGTTTGAACAAAAAAACCCATAGTTTTCAGTAAAAACGTTATATACTGTATATGTTTAAATATATATTGTTTGTTTGGCTGGAAAAAAAAATTGACATAAGCATTGAATGAACAGCTTGGAAAGCAAGTATGGACCCTTGGGCATCCATGTTATTTCTAGTAGACATTTGATTCAGTTTCAGATGAATCCATTGACAACACCCATGTGTGTATTGGTATCAATTCCATGGCAGTTGTTTTTAAATGTGTCATGCAGAATTACATTGATTTTTAAAGTTCACCTTTAGCGAGTAAAACGTTAAGTAAAAAATATAATAAAGCATATTACAAACAAAAGCCATTTGCTTTAGGGTGAAGATGGTGTTTGATTTTAAAATCTTGTGTATTTTGATACTTTTATGGGCTGGGAAAAAAAACTTTATGGGAAAGGTTTGTGGGTTCATGACCCACCTGTGCTACTGAACGTTAACTTGATGCTTCAAAGTCTGGAGAATTTCAGAATCGATCACTTTTACCTAGTGAGTTGCTAAGTAACTAAGAATTCTGTAATATAAAATAACTAAAATGAGGCCTATAGACAGGTTCTCTTCTCAATGATTATTTTCACGACCATGTGTACTATTAACTAAATGTATTTTTATTTGAATCTAAATGTACCTAATGTTTTTTTTTTTTTATCATTTCATTTTTTTATTATATAATTAGAATGTGTTTAGACAGTTACTTGGAGTAGTACTGTAATGTTTTTTGTTGTATTTAATGCAACATACACTAGTGCCAACAATATAAATAGACACAAATTCGACGAAACAAATCCTAACACAATAAAAACTATGGAACATTGCTGCTCCTTTGCCTGTGAAAAATATAAATAATTCTTTTCTTTTTTTTAAATAAACCATTGCACTGATATATACAGTACTGAGCAAAAGTCTTAGGTTGTCAAGGAAAATGTTTAAAGCTATTTATCTGGGAAGTAAATAAAAGTTACTGATATCTAGTTTAATAGCTAGATTAATACCAAACGTCTCCTTGGAGTTCCCCAGTCATTCCATGTATTTCTTAAATTTCACCACCAACTCATTTATTCGTAATTTACTTTTGCACAGTATTGTATTTATAACTTTCTATAGAAATACATAAAGCAGTACAAAAAATCCTCACATTTCACACAGATCCAGATGCTGACAGTTTTGTGGAGCTGTTGTGCCCTTTAAGGGCTCTCAATGGGTTGAGCATTAAAGCAACCCACTGGAATGGTCCTCTGGATGTCCTGCAGGTTCTTGATGTCCAACAGGATGTTGTCGATATCTGCGTTTAGACTCATGGCCTTGGCCATCTGACTTGCCTCCATCTCTTCTAGCTTCTGTAGCCGTGGTTTCAGTAGCTGGGTCACCATTTTGCGTGCGTCAGCTATTGATAACTCCAGCTCATTGTAGCTTTTCCTGCCTGTGATGTCGGTCGAGCCTGCAGTAGTAAGAAGGTCAGTCAGTGCCCCTGAAAACTGCTACAGGTTCCACACAATACACCAACACGCAGATTATGTGTCAGGTCACTGTGGGTTTGTCAGGTTTGTTTTGTGCAGTTATTTAAATCTGTGTATGAAATTTCACTCTATAAACGACCAAGAGCAAGCAAGAATTTCTGCATTAGCCTCTAAATGATAAAGATACAAATGTCTTGTGTGATGCAGGTGAGGTTATGCAAAGTAGTTTTCCAGTGCAATTATTAAATTACTTTTGCTTCTTACATTTAAAAAATAATCCACCACACAGCAAGATTCATGCTGCTGTTACATCTCTTTGTCTGAAGGTTTACTTTTGCAAAATTAGAATTTTTATATCGCACACTGCTTATCTAAAACTGAAAGCAAGCACCATCCCTGTGGTAATGTTAATATTACTCTTTGTTCATACATATGAAACATTATAATTAGAAAAAATGAAATTGTTTCAAAAATAAATTCAATAAATACACTTTTGCATAAAACCTTCCAAAAAACGTACTCATTTAAAAGCAACATTTCAGTGACATATACTTGATATGGACAGCAATATGGAGTCAGGGCTCGGACGCGAAGTGCTGTCCCAGAAGGTGTGATGCTACAGTGTTATGCAAAGAGCCACCCCATATTCATGGGTTCATACCTGGTGAGCTGCTGGTGGAGAGCAGAGCACCAACATACTGCAGGGTTTTGTCTACAGAGTCCTTCACTCCCTTCACGAAGCCAGAAGTACCAGCTGCTTGTGCTGAGGCCTGGATGAACAAAGAAACCAATACTTTAGTACGACATTATTTTTCTATTTGTTCAAATGGATGTCACAGGTTCATGTCACAGAGGGCAGTTAAGTAAATAACTCTAAGTAAATACCAATAAATAGCCTCTGTACTATCCACATTCTGGGATGATACATTTATTTAGCAGAGGCTTTTGTCCAAAGCAATGCTCAAGTGAGGATCAGAGAGCAGGGTCAGTCAGTCTCCAGAACAGTTAGGGCTAAGGGCCTTGCTCAAGGGCCCAAAGGCGACACGAGCCACAGAATGTGAACTGGTGACCGAATACAGAGTCCTACCCTGCAGAGTCACACACCAGCACTGGAAATAATACTTTATGGGCTATGATATTTATCATTAATTCATCATAGATTTGCTCCTGATGTAATACAATGGCAACCTGATAGATTTATACAGTGAATGTTGGTGAAACAGAATAGAGCTTGCTTTGGGTAGTGGCAGCCGATCCAGCACTGGAAAGCAGGTCTCTGAAAGGGCAGCCTGAAGTCATTAACATTAGCTCAGGTGCTACAGTATCATGCCTCCTGCCACAATGGAATGATGCCAGCGTTCTGTCTCTCAATAACACTCAGTAAATGGTACAGTGTAGTCTCTGTTCAGCTATGCAGCTGTGCCCCAAAGCCTCATTTCTAAACTAACCTGTAGTCTAACATAATTTTTCAAAGTTCCTGTGTTAGGTTGCAGCTGTAGGCCCCTCCAGCCCCCCCGGGCCACTCCACACTGACCTCTCTGGCTTCCATTTCACGCTGCTTTGCACGCTCTGCCTCCAAAGCCAGTTCCTTCATTCTGCTGGTGGCCTCGGCTTCCAGCTGCTTCATGTCGCCTGCCAGCGTGGCCACATCCTTCAGCATATCATGGCTGGCCCTTAATGTGGGGGGGAGCTCCTGCCAACACGAAGAGGAATGTCATACAGATTATGCAAGGCCAATGGAACCTGTAGTGCTTGAATTAGTAGATCATTCCATTCTAAATCATTCCATTTTGAATCATTCTATACTAGATCATTTCATTCTGAATCATTATATTCTAGATCATTCTAATCCCAAAACATCTTCCAGGTAAAATGTATGTTCTGACAAATGCATATTACTCTTCTATCATCACCTTTCAGCCAACCCAAAGAAAACACTTTAGCTGAACTTTTTTCATACCTAAAATGATTATTTCTCATTAATTGAATTTGTGTTATATGGACCAAAGTATTGGGTCACCTGGCCATTATAAGCACAGGAACTTTTCCCATTTGACATCCCATTCTAAATCCACAGGCATCAATATGGAGTTGGTCCCTCCTTTGCAGCTATAGCAGCTGCCACTCTTCTGGGAAGGATTTCCACACGATTTTGGCCAATGTCTATGGGAATTTTTGCCTATTAATCCAGAAGAGCATTTGCGAGGTCATGCACTGATGTTGGACGTGAAGGCCTGGCTCGCAATCTCCATTCTAGTTCATCCCAAAAGCGTTTGATGGGGTTGAGGTCAGGGTTCTGTCTAGGCTGATCAAGTTCTTCCACAGCAAATTCACCCAACCATATCTTCATGGACCTTGCATTGGCACAGTCATCCTGGAACAGATAAGGGCCTTCCCCAAACTGCTCCCACAAAGTTGGAAGCATAGAATTGCCCAACATAGTAAAGGTGAACCTGCAGTCTACTGGGAGAAAATGTCGACAGCAATTTTGTTTACCTCTGTGTAGGTAACAGCATCCCTGAGGTTCCGGAAGGTTCCCAGGGCCTCCCTGTAGTCGCCCTGAACCCTGCCCATGATGTCCAGCGACTGGGTGTTGCTGCTGACAGCCCCCTGCACAACATCTGCGATGTCCCGCAGCCTCTCCAGGCTCCTCTCCGCCTCCGCTCTGTTGGTGCTCAGCTGCTTGCTGAATCCTGCAGCCATTGTCAAGGTAAAACATCGTTATTATCTGTGCACAGAAACTGAAATAACATCAGATCAGCTTCCATCCACAAATCCATCCATCTTCCAGCTGATTATCAAGTACAAGGTCACAGGGTGTTTTAATTTCCATTTTAGTACCATCAACATGTAGTGTATAACGTATTACTGTACATATATGTATAGGCACCAATTCAGATCTATACAATGGATCGGGTATCGGCCATATGTGACCGTTACACGTACAATAATTAATTATATAGTTTCGGGCAGTATGATAAGATAGCAGTTTCTTGCTAATCTATATGTACAATCAACCGCAGGACAGCTCTTTCCCATTTTCTTTCTCAAGCTGAACACTAATGCTGCCAATCAAATAATGTGATGTGTAGTATTGGTTGTTGGTGAGTATGTTAACACATTGGTGTGTGTGTGTGAGTGATTATGTTTATATTATATTGTGGGGGACATCTGTTATTTTGTCATTGTGGGGACCATTTTTCAGGTCCCCACAAAGATTTGTGAATGCAATCAAAAAAGTAAAAACGCCAAAAGTCTCGCATTTTGTTTGGTTACTTATTGTTAAGATTAAGGCTGGGTAGGGGTTAAGGTCTTCAGGTTGGAATTAGAGTTTTCCCCATAGAAATTAATGGAGTCCCCACAAATATATAATTACAAACCTGTGTGCGTGTGTGTGTATGGTGCGTATGTGTATGTGTGAAATAAAGAGAATGTTTTTTTTTTTTAAATTATGGTTGCATCTTTCTAATTGTATTTTTAATATCAAGTCACCTGATCGGACAGCATGACCCACGCATGGATAATTAACATTGTAGTCAGTCCGTGTTAATGACTGCACTAATTAATAATAATCAATACTTTATTAATCCCCATGGGGAAATTTTCTTTACACCTCCCTCAATTTGCTCTTTGTGTAGTATGTTGTCCACAAAGGGCAGCCACCCGTAGCAGCATCCAGGGAGATTAGGGTTAAGGGCCTTGCTCAAGGACCCACAGACATACTGAGGCTGGGTTTGAACCGGCAACCTTGTGATTACAGGCACACAGGCTTAGCCCACTGAGCCGCACGATGACATACGTGAAGAGGGCAGGCTTATTTACATAGCTACCTTCTAGCTTGCTATGGACATTGAGCAGCCCGTCCATGTTCTTGGTGATGTCCATGAGAGAGGCGTCCGCATTAGCCTTTGCAGCATTTGCTCTTGAGAGAAGCTGATTATGTATCTGCAGAACATAGAGAAGTGAATGAACGTCAGTTAGAAAAGTTGCAAATGTGCGAAAGGACTTAGCCTAACAGGACCCACGTTCTTCTTACAGAGAACCACACACCTAATTAAATAAACTCATCGATCTTCCATACATGAATCCAGTACGGGGTCATGGGGGGGGGGGGGGGGCACTATACATATGACACAGAGTCAGAAATGCCCCTAAGTCCTGGATAATTTCACTTAAAACTTTTCCTGTCACAGTCAATCTTAGACTCACATGGCTTAACATTTAAGACAAGTCCATGTTTGTTGCAGGACAGATTAGGTACCTTTCAGTATAACAGTGAGACAGAAACTAATTAAACAAATGACCATGATATTTAGACGGCATCTCAGAGCGTGGCAGCGATGTGTTATTTTGAGTAGATACCTGTTGAGCTGCTTCTCCTTTGGCCAGGAGGTCGCTCATCCCGGATCTCTCTGCCTCAATGCCTGCTTTTAGATCCTGGTATTCCAACAGGCTTGTTTCCGTGCTTTCCTTTAGGGTCCCCAAATCTGACACCACACCATCCATCCCCTTTTGAGAAGAAACAAGTTGTTAAAATCACTTACAGTTTCCTCGTGGAATACAGCACATTCATCTTGATTTTCCTTTTTCATTCTGAATATCATATCATGTCACCAGAAGACCTTCTACCTGGACTCCATCTAAGAGTGGTTCCAGCTGGGAGACTCGCTTCAGTGCCCCCTCCCCAGCTCTGCTCTCTCGCTCAGCTGAGGACCTCAAGAGAGCGGCCTCCTTCTTCATGCCCGTTACAAATGTGGAGTTCCACTTATACCTGGGGGAGGGCATGAGGTTAATTTTTGTTAATGGACGTATAGTATTAAAATCAAATAGCTAAAATTAATGTCAGTGGTGGTCACATGGATTTTATTGATGCTCATATACCTTGGCAGAATGTGAATGCCGACAATCTAAAACAACAGTATCTTACCCAATCTGAAGGTCATTGACAAGTTCAGCGACCTTGTTTTCTCCCAGCAGGACAGGGCGTATTAGACCCTTGGCATTCTCTGCCTCAGCAAGGGCACTCTTGGCAGTCTGGTCTACCATGTCTGCCTCTCCTTGCTGCCTGAAAAGGTACATACCCCGTCATCTCTGACCCACACAAAGTGAGCCCGGCTTCATGGGAATCTCTGGATGCATTTTAATCAGTATTATAAGATGTCTTGAGTCACTCACTTCTTTGCAAGGTTGACAGCTTTCTCAGCCAGGCTGGAAATATAGGTGGTGTCTCCATTATCATCATGTAAAGCAAGTTCCTGGAAACCAGAATAAACATGTAGATTACAAACAGGGGAAGGGAGCAAGATGTTTTACTTTACTGCACAAAGATTTGGTCCTAGTGGACCATCTTGGAATGTTGTGTTGTCTAAGAACGGACCATTCATCAAAATATAACAAAGACTTTATTTTGCCTCTCTGTGGGAAAGCTTTAGAAGAAACTGAGCGAATGAATTAAACCATACTGGCTGACCCAGCAACTTTCTCACCTTTCTGTTGAACATTTCCAATAGCAAACTGTTTTAATTTCAATCTACTTAAACTACTTAAATTCCAATCATAGACATAAAGTAATGCTCTCAAGGTGTGACTGTGTTGCACAATGTCTATGTATTTAAATGCTCCATGTATGTTTATAAATAGAATAGAAACAGAATCCATTTCAAAGTCAAATTCCATCTATCTTACAGTACAGCATCACTACTCAAAACCGATGTTATATCATATTAACCAGGACAAAGAACTGTTCATTAAATGAGGCAAATGAAACATGCCAACTCACAGCATTTCGGATGTCTGTCTTGGCCTTAAGCAGCTGATGCCTCACGTCTCGGAGCAGAAGGTCGATATCGGACGCACGCCTCTGATACTGCCTCTCCTGCTGGCTCACGGCGCCCAGCGTGTCGCTCACAGACTGCAAGCTACTGCTCTCACGGGACTGAGCTTGGCTTAGCTCCTCCAAGCGACCTAGCAAACCGTTCTCAGTGTCTGCATGAAACACAGAATGTTCAACACACAGTCATTCATTTATTGCTTCCTATTCACAATGCAGGTTTATGAACAAAGAGAAAAACACTATTGATAATTAAAAAAAATTGGTCCAATTGTGGGGATGCACATACACACAGTAAACTATTAGTAATGAATGAATGTGTGAGACTCTTGCCTGTGAGCTGGTTGCTGTTCATCTGCATTTCAGCCAATATGAGCTCTGCAAGCTGAATGTGCCTCAGCAGCTGTGCGGTATTTGCCGGAACAACATCACTCTCGATCTTCTGGAGTAAACCTTCCAGTTCATGCAGTTTAGAGAAGTGTACCCCCACCTGCAAAATATTCATGTTACTGGTGAATAATTATGGCAACATTTGTCGCCACCATGACATAATAAAATCGCCCAACTTCATGAAGGCTCAGGGGTATGTAGAGGTATTTTTATTAGAGTTTATAGGTCAAAATGGCCATAATGATATTAGATTAGATTAAAATTAATTGTCGTTGTGCTGAGTACAGGTACAGGGTCAATGAAACACAGTTAGTATCTAATCAGGTGCAAAATATGTACACTAGGGTGATGGAAATAGAGAGAATGGGATCCCCCCCAGTATTGGCAGATTCCCCCCCAACTCATTTTTCCTAAAAAATGAACATGAACAGATCTATTTAGGGCTGAACAATATTGGAAGAAAATCAAATTGCAGTCTTGTGGTTCATTTTGGGTTTTGCCGTTCATAGCTGCGGCTGTTATTTTAACGCAGTTTTGTTATGGTACAGATGTAGATTTAAGAGAGTGCTTCTTTCTTTCATTTTTCTTATCAATCCGCAACATTACTGAGGCCAAATCACTGTGCATGTACAGAGAGAGGAGAAAATGTATCTAACAACGAGTTTAGTCCTGTATTAGACAAAATAATTGTATTGTATTTATTAATTATTTTTTTATGAGATAATTTCATATCCTGTCATAATGAAAAACATCTCATTATCTTAAAAAACGTATCATATATAATTATCTTGTTATAGCAATACAAGATTATCACCTTCTAATGAGATTCAAAATGATTTCATTATAAGGCGATAATCTTGTATTGCTAACAAGATAATTTAGCATCTCATAACAAGAAACGCAGTTCCTTATAACAAGATAATTTTCATGTTTTAAGTTGATACTTTAAAATTATAACTAGATAAATACTGTATCTACTTATAACAAGAAGTGTACCTCACTATAACAAGAAACTGGGCTTTTTTTTCTGCCAGCAATACCGCTATAACAGATTTTTTAAAATGGCTGAAAATCAAAACATCTTGTTTTCAAAAAGCACAGACGAACAAATGATGAGTCTTGTGATGTTTTGTATCCAGATCGTCTTTTGACTTAAAACTAAGATAAGCTATGGCCGGAAAGCCACATATTCCTACCTTATGTTTAACACGGTCAAAGCAGCTGGGGCACGCGGGCCGGTCACACTTGGGTCCCTCAAAAGCTTCTCTGCACAGACACTGGCCGCTGCTGCTGCACTCCCTTGAGGTGGAGCCCAGAGGGTTGCAGTTGCAAGCTTTCGGGTAAATGACAGAACATGTTCACCTTGATGAATTCACCCATCTACCCTTTCAGCTTATAACCGCTTATCCCAGTCAGGTTTGCAGGCTTAATGGATTTTAAGCAAGCGTGATGTGCTTCTGTATTCATTCTAATTAAATGTTTCACATGTTATGTTGTGTGAGCTGTGTAAACACCAATTGTTAACCATTTATTTAATTCACATTATAATGTCATCAGTCAACATTTCTGTAATCATTTGTACCAGCAGTTCTTATGCAGGTTGTCAATACTGATATTAAGTATAGCTTTCTTATTAGGTCCATGCTGTGTTTATAATACACTGTATAGCTCTTCTTCCAGTACTAAGTCGCACTTGCACCTGGTCAATCATGGGAAGCTTAGCCTGGCTTCAATTAAGCCAGCTCCTTGTCAGTTGTATGCTTGTAATGTACCACTTGTACATCACTTTGGAAAGAAGTGTCTGCTACTGTAAATAAATATAAATGCCAATGATATTCGCAAGTGATGTGATCAACTGATTTATGGCTTGTAAGACTCTGGCTTCCAATAATCTTTGAAGGAGGAGACAAGAAAATGGCAAAATATTGCATATACGTGTTATCCAGGAGATCCACACCGGAAGGACTTTTGAGTTCTCACCTTTGCAGTTATCAGATGCGTGGCTGCGATGGAAGCCGTCTTGGCAGCTCTCACAAAAGAACCCAGTTGTGTGATTTAGGCACTGGAGGCACTGTCCTGTCAAGCGATGGCAGTTGCCTACGGCATTGGGATCTATGTTCCCGTTGCACTGGCACCGTTGGCAAGGTTGCCGGGGACCACTTTCCCCCAAGGGGTCGCCGTAGAAACCATCTTCACACATGTTGCACCGTGCGCCTGTGGGTATGTTAGGTCAGAATTGAACATGAATATGTTTTTTTATGAGAAAGTCAGCAGTCCTTTTAAATGGACATCATGCCTCACCGGTCGTCCCCGGAGAACATCGGTCACATCTCCCATCAATGGACCCTGGTGTCACTGAGCAATCAACCCCGGGTGGAAACCTGGAGCTGTCATCTCTGGGCAGGCATTCTCCTGCAACCGGAAAAAAATGTAATGTGATACTGGAAACAGGTCATACACGTCATACATGTAATATAGGTAATACTTGTACTACAGGTAACACAGGCAATATAGGAAATAGCTGTAATACAGGTAATATACGTAATACAGGTAATGCAGATGATACAAATGGTCCTTAATCTCACCACAGTCATCCAAAAGTCCAAAAAAGATAAAGTCTGGACCATAAAGTACAAAAGTTACACAACAGTGTCATCATAACAAATAAAGCAACAAAAGCTAACATAGGAGCCTTTTCTTCCTAAAAAATGTTATAATACAAATTAGTGGTAGAATGTGCTCTCACCTGTGTCAGCATTACTGCAAGGTGTGCATTGGCTAAAGGGACCCTTTGCAGGGTCCATTTTTCTGTATCCCACGGCACATCGCTCACAGAATTGCCCTTCGTGCCCAACAGGGCAACTGCACTTCCCAACCCATCCAGCGGGAGTGCCAGGCCCCTGCCTGGCTGATACAAGCTGCACATCATCAAGGTAACTACGGCCTGAAAAGGAAGCAAAGGGATCAAATTAAACCAAAAATGAAATTTGCCAACAATAACAAAAAGAACCACTTGAATAAATGACCAAGTCAGAGTTTGCAAGCAACATCATATGCTTCCATTCCTTAAAGGGACATGAGAAAAAGGGCAAATGTGATGAAAAATGTAAACATGCAACCTCTCAGATTCATAGATTAGGGATCAGTAGGGTATGGTTAATGTTTATTGTGGAGGAAGGCAGTTTGGCTCGTTATAATATGTCATTCTCATCCATGATTTTAGCACAAACACTTTTCCAGCATCATTTTGGGACGTGCCAATGGGGTAATAGCTGCTTGGAAATGAGGGAAATGCGGCAGGATGCCGTTCAGTGTCAGTACACATGTATTAAAGACCCCCATCCACCCAAGGCAGTGAGTGTGAGTGAGGAGATCGGCAAACACAGAGGAGACCAACACGGGCAGATGATGATGATGAACATGCAAACTGCTCACACACAGCCAGGGAGCAGGAACCCAAGAGGTGTGAGATCAGAATGCGGCCCACAGTGACAAGCTACATCATACAGAGGCATAAAAAAGACATGCACTACTTTAACATATTCAACATTAAGCAAAAATACTGAAGGAGCTCTTCTATTAAACTGAAAAACATTGAATTGAATTTTTTTGGCAAAATTTATACACCAGTGTTGGTCAGTAAAGCCTCATGTATGCATGTTAGAACACATTATTCTACATAACATATTCTACAGAACATAGTTAAATCCTGTATAACTCATTCTATCATACACTGTAGTGACATTTTATATGAGACATTTGTTCTCATTGTATTTTGGTTTTTTTTTGTACTTGTGTCAGGCATGATTTTGATACATATCTAAAAAAAAATGCCAATCAACTCTGATAAAGATTGTAGCTGGAGTATTAACTGTTTAATTGTGGCTGTTTATTTATAGTTCTGTTACTTGTCTAAATGAATGGGGAGGTGAAAAACAGGAACACACTTCCTGTCTCATGACCGTCAGGATTTACAAGGTTTCTCACTTAATGTTTGGGTAACAGTTTCCTTGTGTGACCCAGCATGTGGTATTGTCCTTTAATGCCCTTTAATGACCCAGCTTCCTGTTCACGCCTCATCACAACCTTCTGGGAGCAGCCCACAGTGACTATGACCCTGAGTGACCAAGCAGCAGTATGGAAATAGATGTATGGAAAATATGTACAATTGATAGCAACAGAGGTCAACAAACTCTATAAAACAGCATTGTGGGAAAACAGCACACATACTTCTTCTGCCAAATGTGCCACGGATCTTGATGGCCGTGACATTTTGAAGGAGGATCTGGAACTGCAGAGAGGTAAGTGTAGGCTGCCATTTGCTCACTGGGCTCTCGTCAAGTCTACAGTCAGGGAGCAGAAGAAATTGCTTTAGGATATTCATTGTGAAATCAGGCATCAAGAGCAGAGTCTATAGTGTGTGACTCAGCAGGTTAGGCCTCCCTGTCTGTTGGCCCTTAATGCCCCAGGGGCATCGGATAAATGCCAGACCCATTGCTTAGGTCCAAAGCTTTATCCTCACCTGCATGTGTCTCAAAGGACAGCAAGATGGGATATGTGAAAAGAACATGCTGGTACAAATGAAGCATCATTTCAATGTTCATCAAATGAAGCATCATTTCAATTATTGCCTATTATCACCAATCTGTCTTCTAACTGTTTATCAAATGAGGCGTCGCAAGGGGACCATAAGCCTAGAGCCTGTTCCAGGCAGCACAGGGGCACAAGGCTGGATTACACCCTGGATGGGATGCCAGCTCATCAACATGAAAGCTTATATATATCTACTTAAGGGAACAGAATATCCCCTTTCAGGTCTGGGCATCAGAAATGTGTGGAGTATACATGGTTTTCTACCTGAAGCTATATGTGGTTTTCTGTCCACAGGGAATGACTCGATGTAGGTCTCCAAGTGGGGCAGCCACCCTCAGCCCCCCCCCCTCAAGCACCACGTCGCTGGTGGAGGGATAGCGAACCCCCCAGTCGAGCCGGAGCGAAAAGGACAGTGTTTGACCGTAGCTCAACTGCTGGTTGCCCAGGTAGGAAGCTTGGAAGGGGACACAAAGATTTAATAAAACTAGTGATTAGTATGAATGGAGTTTAGAAATCCAGAAGCACTTATAGTTAAACAGTTATAATATACATAGCTTATTGTAATTTTTTGTGTGTAGTGCAAAAGTCTTATGCAGCCATGCAAAAACATGTTTAAATGATCTTTATGTTGTAGTACTGTAGATGTAGCCACTTCATTTCCTACCTGGAGCCAGAAGATAAAGTGGCACGCTGCTGTCGGAGAAGACCTCAAGGCTCCGAAGCCTGGAGGACCACTGGAATCGAACACTGGAGCCTGCAGTGCCATAAGCTGCAGCGGCTCGCCAGCCCTCAGTCCCTGAGGAGAAAGCAGCTCGGAAAATGTATGATTGTTCACAAACCATTCCTTACTATGGTACCGGAGCCATAGCTGTTTCGAATGAACTTGCTTTGTGCTCATGCAGGGTAGGACATTTTAGAGTTTTAATTATTTTTTGAATTGTTCATATTTTCAAATCAGATTTTTATTTATTTAGCGTGATGAATCTGCTTCTGTGACATAGTTTTTAGCTTCACATTGTGTATCACTAATTTTAATTTCAGCTTAATGTTACAAAATGTGTAGTTTTACCTATGTTTGCTTGACATATAGTATACAAACAAAAGTATTGGGACACCTGGCTATTACACCTACAGGAAATGGTAAAACATCCCATTCTAAATCTCTAGGCATCAATTTGGAGCTGGTCCCCCCTTTGCAGCTAGAACAGCTGCTACTCTTTTGGGGAGGCTTTCCACAGGATTTTGGAGTGTGTCTGTGGGAATTTTTGCCCATTCATCCAGAAGAACATTTGTGATGTACTGATGTTGAACGTGAAGGCCTGGCTCTGTGCAGACCAGTTCTTCCACAACAAACTCACTTAACCATGTCTTTATGGACCTTACTTTGTGCACTGGGGCACAGTCATGCTGGAATGGAAACGTCTGTGTTCCCATAAAGTTGGAAATAAAAAATTGTCCAAAATGTCTTCACATGCATATCAAGACATTTTGGACAATTGTATGCTTCCAACTTTTTAGGAACAGTTTGGGGATGGCCTCCTCTCCACAACTTGCCACAGGAACGTAACTGCAAGATCTGAATAGCAGCAGTATGGCTCGTTTGGGCTATAAACCCATGGCTTACCACTACTGAAGCTGGAAGAGATGGTGAGAACTGAGTATCCCTCCGCTGGGGAGCAGGTATCAGAGTGTCCATGGCAGAAACAGGATGGGCATTCTGGCTGGCCGCTCAGTGGCTGACTGCTGCTTCGAGTCCTGCAGCTATGGGGGACAGAAACAGCACACTCTTACCAACAAGCCTCCTGTTCACCTAGAGCTGTAGCGACATTTGATGTCATGTGATTTTAAATAGAACATTACTGCAATTATGAGAGATACTTATGAGAGAATTTTACAGTGACAAATTGTGTTCACCATCATTGATTAAATATAAAGGCTTTTTATTATAAGCAGGTGTTTTTCAAACTTCTGTCCTGTTTTTCTAGGCTATTTCACTCATAAAAATAAAAATAATGATTTTGTAATTAAAGTATGACTGCATGGTAGCCAGGGCTGAATTGTAATTAAAAATCAGCCCTCACGACAAATTTTGCCGGCCCGCAAACCAATCGGCACACCGGGAAAGCCCGGTATGGACTGTCCTGGTATCTGTACTAGAAAAACAGACATTACGCTATCAAAGTCTGAGTCTCACCTCTGTGTGCAGCCGATTGGGGTAACGGGGGCTCCATTGTTACAGCGGTCACATTTGTCACCCCGGACGCCGCGCTTACAGCTACAAACACCGGCAGCGTCACATTGAGGGTTGGTCGAACCTAACAACAAAAACGAGAACGATAATACCAGCATTCAGACGAAGTATCCCTGTGAAATTCCAGTAAAAATACGATTAATAGAATGACTATTTAGATATGAAATATTTAAATTGACAAGGCAAATATAAATTCAAAACTTTCGTAATAGGCCTATTACTATAGGCCTAACAGTTTAGACTTTCCATAACTTTGGCCTACAGATTTCACCCACCGGCAGAATTGCAGTTGCAGGGTAAACAGGGATCTCCTGCTCTCTGGTGATAAAAGCCCTCTTTGCACCTCTCACACTGCCGACCCTCTGTGTTTTCTTGGCAGTTCAGGCACCGCGGGCCATCGGTGTCCCAAATACAACCGATCGACTTCCCATTGCAATTACAGGCCAATGCTGCACAAAACAATTGCAAACAAATCATTTATGGAAGAGATACAACTGATTGTTATGCACAGAATCCATGGGCGGCACGGTTTCGGGGGGGGACGAGGGACGACAGAGGGTACTGCCGCCTGAGTCGAGCGGTTTGTTGGTAACTTATAGGTAGGCCTATACAAATTAGCAGGGAATTTGCGCGTCAGATACGTGCGCTAAGAAGTACATTAGTACATAAGGCAAGCAAGATGCATTTTTTTACCCCTGCCATCCCAACAAGACCAAACATCAAACTCCGCTTATGATAGAATCACTGCCGAAAAGCTCACTATAATTTTCATATTTTTTCCTGAAATCTAAAAGAAAAAGATACCATGGGTGGCTTACGAAAAAATATAAAGAAAGAATATACATTTAAGTCCCATTGCGATATAAAATGCGATCGTTTTGTTAAAAGAGTAAGGCAAGGGCCATTCCACCAGGCTTACGGTGAGAAATCATAACGTGGCTTAATTTCCAATAAAACTTTGGGAAACCTACTGTATCTCACGCTTCGGCGGTATTGCACTGTATTTTCGAAACAAACCGGGAGTGTAGTAACCAGGGGCGGAGGGCACCCCACAATTAATATTAAATATGGCTTTAGCTTTTCTTTCTCCATATAAAATCGTTATAAGGAAACGTAGCATAATGTCCCTAAACTAAAATAAAATTTCTCCTAGACCTTACTGGTATAAAAAACATCTACTGCCAAATGTATAAAACTACAATCAAAATGTAATTTTATAAAATTCACGTTCAGTCTTTTCCTCTCAGTATAAACCTATTTAAAACAATACAGCATAAATTAGTAATCCATCTGATATCGCCATAAACATTCAAGTAAATACTTTCATTTTTGATTACTCAGTTTTCTGTAAAGCGTACGCAATTTAAAAGTAATTCTGCATTGCCCATGACAATAGTCTTTATAACAAGACTATAACCATATTTTTAGTTGTAAAAATAAGGTTACATGATGATAAATTTTATCAAGAAACAAATTCCTAAAACTTACGTTCATGTCTGTTCGTGCCTTGAACCGGAGACAGGATAAAAAATACGATTCCGCAATAATATATCCATCTGATCCACATGATGATAAATGTATGTATGAAGTTCCCAAAGTATTACTTATTTCAGGCACAAACTGCAACAGCAAATGCAGCTAATCAGGCGGAATCCCCAGGGACTAATCGAATGTGTCTGATGTGTCCAGGTTGTGCTTATAAACAGCATCCTTATGACTAATGCTGACTCAGGCTCCAGACAAATTTGGTGAAATGTGATTAAAAATCTGGGACGAAGAAACGCCCCTTATTTTAATAATCTAATCACATATAGGCCTTGATCGAATCATTGAATGAATTCCCGTTTTAACTGTATATGGAAACATAAGTATATCTCTGTCTCAAAGTGACAATGTTAATATTTGTTATATTATATACGATATAAACATCATATAAACAATATAAACGTATATTACATCAAAAATACAACGTCGTAAAATGCTGATAGACCCATATTAAAGGTAATGGTTCCTATTCATGACATTAAACTGTTTATAATATACGATATTATAAGATAAGAGAGACCTATATTTCTTGTTTTTTTTTGCATTTAACGCTTGACTCCGTTGCTAGTCTAACGAGGTGTGTACTGTTTGCCTGTGCGTTGCTCTGCTGTTCCAAGCGCCTGCAGTCGGACCGACGTCAGCATTAGCACAGGTTTGTACCTGCCGACGGGCCTGGCTCACCTGGCCACACCTGTGATTCACTTCCTCTTTGTAATACTAACAGAGGCAGTAGAATTATCCAGTCCTGTCTAGCAAGCAGGAAACACTCATTGTTATTCACACTCTGGAACTTCAGTCCAATGTTTACTTTTACCCTGACAGACTTTTCTCTTTAGTTTGTTTTTAATACTACAATATCTATCAAACACTTCCTGCATTCACACTTATAATAATGCATTTATTTTTGCTTGAGGAAGTTTTGTCATTTGAGGAACGCTGCTGAACGAAAAGGTTCAGTCTTTATTTTTTATATCTTGCTCTTCTAAGCAGCATTTACAAAATTCCGTAATTAAAAATGGCAGAGAACATAAATCAGCATTTACTGCTATCTGCAGCATTTCAAGGGAGTTAGCTTGATTTTCATTACATGTGTTACTTGTAAACAGTCTGCTATAAATGCTTTATTCATGCCACACCCCTTATGACTGACTCTTTTGGTCTAGCCTCCTACCTGCCATATACGTGTCCTCAGGCAATGGAACACCGCAACTCCAAATCACGTACCCAGGAGACGAGTCAGTGGGTGGGGAGAGAAGTGGACTGAGATAACTGCAGGGCAGGGATTGTCTGCGGCTGGAACGTGGTGAGCCAGCCTGAGCTCACAGAACGTCTTCAGCTTCCAGCCGCGCCCTGGCCCCTGGCAGACCAGCTCTGTGCCAAAAGACAAACAGTACAGCTGCAACACCTTAGGACTGAACCTCTTAACGTAACACACTTACATAGCTGAAAGCAGTGTATTATCACCTACGTATAATCGGGGTGCCACTAGATATTTTGGGCCCCATGAATACATATTAGGGGGCAGCGTGTGGCTGTAATCAGAAGGTCACTGGTTCAAAGCCAGCCTCAGCACATCTGCGGGTCCTTGAGCAAGGCCCTTAACCCCCAGCTCCCTGGGTGCCCCAACAGGTGGCTGCCCTTCACAGGTTTTTGGGATAACCTGTAGGTCAGCTGTTCAAACCCAGGTGTGAGGACTCTTCAGCCAATCAGTCCTCTAATTACTAATTTAATTAGGGAGTTGCGGCAAAAACCCGCATACACACCAGCCCTTTGCGGATAAGATTGCCCACCCCTGCCCTATGATATACCGGCATCATATCCAGGGTTTCCGCCGCCTTGTGCCCTATAATGGACCGTGATCACATCCAAGGTATCCCCCATCTCGTACCCTATGATGGACCGTGATCACATCCAAGGTATCCCCCATCTCGTACCCTATGATG